ACCTCTGTGGGCCGCCGCTGGGCCTGGATGTCTCTGCCGGCTGCCGCCGGGTCTGAATATCCCTGTCGGCTGCCGCCGCTGGGCCCGTCTACCTCCACGGGCCCCCGCCACAGGCCTACCTGCGTCTGCTTGTCTCTGCCGCCGGGCCTGTCTACCTCTGTGGGCCGCCGCTGGGCCTGAATGTCTGAACTCTGGAATTTTAAGATATGAATTCGCTATCGAGTTCTTATATCTTAAATTAACCCACATCTATTAGTCTATAAGTTGCCACATGGCTTATGGCTTACCGGTACCTTACATCTCGATTGTCATGGCGGCGGCTGGCAGCATCTCTCTCAGCCATTCTTAATATGGGGAACAAATTCAAAATACTAAGACATGCTTAATAACATCATGTCATGCTAACTATAAATGTAATTTTGTTACTTCTGCCTTTTAATGGTTCAGAGATGTACTGAGAACAAGTACAAACACACCTGAGAGAGAGGTGTCTAAAATAGTTCTCAGGTTGCTATCAATATAGATAGTCTGCATTCTCAGATTAGCCATTCTAAGCTGTAGATATCCTCTATAATAGCAATGATTAGTTACTTCACCCATTAGTTACAATATTTTTGTTCAAAATAAAAATAACTAGTGTCTTTTTATTACTTTTATAGATCATTGGAGGATTAATTATTCTTTTTCCAGTCATCTTCAGACCTTTAATTACCTGCAGCATGCCCATAGAGAAATTAACACACCAATTTAATAAACAAAAAAGGGAGGAGATTGCCGGTAGCCATGTCAGAAATATAGCAAGAGGCAAATGAAGTTCAGGTGTCAGCCCCCTAGAAGAAACACTCTCTGATGGGTGTGTCTTGTTTAGGCAAGGCTTACGAGAATGCAGACTCTAGAGTGCCTTCTGTTTCTGTTGTGCTTTCCCATGCTGCTGTCACAGTCTTTCCTCTGGTATATGGGATGTAGGGGACCCCACTACCTGTATGGTAGTGTGTTTATCTCATGAAAACATCCTGATCTTCTGGGCATCTATTCTGTGGATTGTCAACACATGAGTCCTCCTTAAGCTGTCTTCTAATGGACACAGTTTTGATGAATAAAAATAATACTAGGATATGTTTCATAACTAAGGCCTATTGTTCCATGAAGCCCATGAGACACTTAGGACCTGCTTTAGATCACAGCACAGATTTATGATTTAGGAAACCATTTGTGTCCTGGAGCCAGGCAGGTTCAATTACCTTTAATCTTTTTGCTAAGATAGGAAGTCACAGATTTCTTGTACATCATTAGATGAAATAAAGCTTCAAAAGAGTTTAAATTAGACCAGATGCCTTGCTAATGGTTTTTTAGATAAGCATTCTCAGTCTTGTTCACAAGGACACATAACTGTGCTGTCTGGCTAGGTTGTAAATACAGAAAAGCTCAATTATTGCTAGCTGGCAAATTAGTCCTTGCACTCATTCCTGACCTCAGTTTGTGAAAATATATTCTGACTAGTCAAGGCTACAGAGAATAACTTGACTCTGTAACCCCTAGTGAGGGCTTCAGGTATGTATTGCCTAAGAGATTCTGTTAGAGTAGTTAATCGGTGGAGGGAAAGGGAACAGAAGAGTGTCTGGAGAGAACAACATGAGAGAATAAAGAAAAAGAACGGTTAAGAGTATGTGTGTGTTTTTTCCTTCCCTAAAAACTCTCAGATAGAAAAGTTACAGCCTTGCCAATGCCATGGGGTCCTTGCAAGCCCTGGGTGCAGCCTTGGGGCTGGGTTCCAGAGGCTGCAATAATACCCTTTTTTGTTTTATTTTTATTCACTAAAGAACACAGTAAAATACTCATTTTAAATATTATGCATATTGTTATATTTACTTGTATTTTAATTAAATATTACTGGTATTTAAGAAGTGTTTGGCAGAAAACTGATACATATTTGAGTGGAATGATGTGCATAGATCTTGTGTTCAATTTATAAGATCTAATGAAAAATTTGTTTATTTTTATTGTAGATTTTTCCTTATGCCCGTAATTGAGTTTAGTTTAAAAAAAAATCTTACGTAGGGCCTGGTGTCACAAGACTTTAACCCCAATACTTGGGAGGCAGAAGCAGGTAGATCCCTGTGAGGTCATAGTCAACCAGGGCTGCATGGTGAGACTCTGTCTCAATAAAACAAACAAATCTGAACCAGCATGTTGTTTAAAGGGATTGAGGATTTTCTTGGAGGTACACTCTGTGTTTGTGAGGCACATTCAGCCTGTTCTGAGCTCAGTTTCTCTGCCTTGGTCTTTCAAGTACTCAGAACCCATATCCTGTTGAAGGTCATATTTTCAGACTATTTTGCTTTAAATTAACTTTACAAGCAATTTCTTATATTCTGGACACCTGTGTTTATGTACTTTCTGATTTTAAAAAATGTCTATGTTCTTTTTTTACTTAAGAGTAGAATAGTATAGCTCTTAGTGAACATTTGTTTAGAAATAGCAAAGTAAACTATCCCATATAAAGCCCACTAACATCTGGATGCTCTAGACTAGCATGTTTCTCTGTGTAACCTCAGGGTAAAACTTTGATAGTTTGGTGGGGTTTTTTGTTGTTTTTAAGTCTTTTATGTCCTTTGGCTGTAGGCTGAGTCTTCAGGTTCTAAGTTTACATGTGACTCATTATCTCTATTTTAAAGGGTAAGTCATTTTCAAAGATGAGTTAGAAACATTATCTCTTCCCCTAAATTCCCCTGCTACTGCCTCCCGAGTACTGGAATTAAAGACATCTACCACCACACCTCACTAATTTTACACTTAAATGCATCGTATAGTTTTGTCTTCGTGTAGTTCATTAATCTGGTAAATACTTATTCAGTTTTTGTCTTTTGTAGTTTCTGGGTGTTAAAAAAAATATGACTGCCAGGCAATGGTGGCACATGCCTTTAATCCCAGTACTTGGGAGGCAGAGGCAGGCGGATATCTGTGAGTTCGAGGCCAGCCTAGTCTACAGAGTGAGTTTCAGGACAGCCAGAGAAACACAGAGTAACCTCGTCCTGGACCCCCCCC